AACTTGGGGAGGGAAAGTATGTTTTGCCTCTAGTTTATGACACTGGTGACTCCTGATGCTTGCCCTTGGTCAGGAGGAAAAACTTACTTGTAATGCCTATAATTCCCCTTGCATGGAAAATGTTCGATTGTTCTTGTTTCTAAAAGGAAGTAAAAAAAATTCCACATACACCATGGTGATGTATAAGCGGAAGAGAAATCCAATCATGTGACAAAGCTACTATTAACAAAATCAAGCAATCACGATTTTGGTAGGAAAGCCATCATTGGAAATAGGCTGAGGCAAAGCGAAGAAACAATGATCTTAAGGTACAAGGGTGGGATTTTTTTTTTCTGCCTAGTCGAGCCCCCCCCCCCCGCCCAAAAAATCAGTGAGGTCATATTATGGGCAAAGCACCATCCCAGGGCTCCTGTTTTGCTGGACACAAATATAACTCTTTTTTTAAACTGTCCACAAAAGTCTAACCTTGTAGATACTCTTAAGGCAGGGTTTCATGATTTGGTCCTATTAACATTTTAGATGGATTAATTCTTTGTTATAAGGGGCTGTTCTGTGCAGTGTAAGATGTTTAGCAACATTCCTGAATGCTAGCTTGCACACCCCTAGTCGTGACAATCCAAATGTCTCCAGACATTGTCTGTATTGTCTGTGGGGCAAAACTGCCCCCCATGATGCATGAGAACATCATGAGAACCAATGCTCTAAGATGAGATAGACTTTTATTCTTATTAAACTGAATATTTCTTGGTGCCGCATGTGGTAGCTATCCTGGACCATAAAATATTTAAAATGCAGAATTTACATTTTTTTCCTGTAATTGTCCTACTGAATATTTCCATTCTAGTTCCAGTTGAAACTGAAACTTGGTAGCGATGTTTGAATTCCCCAATGACTCTTAAAACCTAAATGAACTTAATTACTTATAGGAAAGTTTGAATGCTACTAGTTGTCATGAAAAAAAAAAAAAAAACAAAGACACATTGAGGAACTAAATTTTTTGTCTGAAAAGCAGTTTACTAAGGAAAGTGAATTTATCTGTTCAATAGGTACAGAGTTAACGTTATTTCCTGCCACTTTAATGGTGAGAAGGGGTTTGGTAGGAAACCCTAAAAATGAGCAGCAGGTTGAGATAACTTTTCTGTTTTAAAGAGTTGTGTTGCAGACAAAATCCTAAGGCATTTTTACTATAAGGGCAAGAGAAGGAGACTTTACACACTCCTTAAAGGCATGTAGCCTGCCCTCAGTGAGGCTCATCGCTAAGAGCTCCAACTTCTAAGTAGGATCACTTGGTTACACACCTGGCCCATCACTTCCTAGTGGACACCTGGGGTAAACTGACTTATATCTATGCCTCAGCATCCTTAGCTATAACGTAAGCCTGTGTGAGACATTTAGAACCGTGCTTGAAGCGTAATCAGTTTTCAGTAAGTGCTATTTTTTTTTTAAGAGTAGGAACTCCGAAAATCAGGAAGCAAATGTGATTTTTTTTTTCATGTAAGATAGAGAAACCGAAAAGCCAATCTATTATTTTACAATTGAAAGTACTAAATAATAATTATGTTATTTATTCAATTTTTAAAAAACCATAAGTGGTATCTTCCACATATTAGTTCTTATCATAATGATCCACACCTTGAATTTCCCACCTAGTTTACAAATAAGGAAGTGAAGTTCAGAGAGATTACCTAGCTTGCCTAAGGTGATGCTAGTGAGTGTTGAACTAGAATCTGAACTCAGTTCTGTCTTCTTGCAAAGTTGATCCCCATCACAAAATTCTACATCTCTGCTGCAAGAACAAGAATCCTAACAGAGCAGCTAGTAGCATACCAGGCATCAGGCTTAATTTACATGACAAAATCACACAAATTAGTCCATTTAACATTTCAACAGCCCAAGGTACCTTTTTTTACATTTCAGATGTTGAAACTGAGGCTTGGAGAGCTTCCGAAATAAATTATCCCAGGTTATATAGAAGATAACTCCTAGAAGTTGAATCCAAACTCACAAAAGCTTAGCCCTTAGCAACTATGTGATATTCTCTCCCATCCCATTGCAGAAGAATGTCCAGAAACTCAGAGGCTGAGAGAAGAAAGCCAGAGGCTGGATTAAAGTGGCTTTATATGTCAAGAATTGGAGTCTGGATCATTTTGTGAAAGGTCATTGTCAGATGATCAAAAGCAAGGAGGTGGGGGAATAGCAAGGAGCATTCTGGGAACTTCTGCCAATGTCCTCATCTATAGAATGAAGAATTGGGCCACATAAATCTCTCAACTCCCTTTCCTTCTGAAACACTATATTGTTGCAGTTTGTATCATTCCCTTTCTTACAGCTTCCTGGTGGCTTCCCTATGTAATTAATTGGTATCAAACCCTTCCTGGTATCACAGTCTCAAGCCTTTGCTGCCTGCAGCCCCCCCCCCCCCCCCCCCTCCCCCCCCCCACCCCCCCTCCCCCCCCCCCCCCCCCCCCCCCCCCCCCCCCCGCTCTCTCATTTTGGCCTATACCTACTTGTCTCTTTTTCATTCACAACACTCCCGGCACAAACTCTTCTGTTCCAGAAATGTCCTCAGTCAGGGCCTTTACGCTTACTGTTTCCTTTGCCTGAAATGTCTTTCCCTAGATCTTTCCTGAAATGACACTTCCTTCACTACAGTTCCCATAACCACCGACTGCATCTAAAGGAATATCCCCCCCCTGTAATTTTCTACCTCATTCCCATTTTATTTTCTTTGTAGTAATCACCACTGTTGGAAGTTCACTTTTTTGTTGTTGTTTTATTTATTGTATACTAATCCCATCCATCTCCATGTAAGTTCCATGAAGCCAAGGATCCTGTTGATCTTGTTCATGGCTGTACCCCCTGGGCTGATGCCTGGCACCTGGTACTTGATTGATTTGTTGAATGAATGAATGAATGGAGAGATGACTAAAGTTTTTACACCTTATGTCATACCTAAAAAAGTTAGGCATGTAATTGGAGCTCAAATATATGTGTAATAGTAATAATGATAACCAATGTTCATCAATCTCTAATTATTGGCACTGTACTAAATCTGAATCTTTGCAAGACCTTGCAATTTGTCCAAGGTCAGAAGACTACTGATTTAGCCCATATTCAAAAGTAAGTCTAATTTCAGCACAATGTTCTTGTTAAGTGATTGATTTATGTAAAGAGAAACTAAGGTTACCTCCAATTGGATTAGGGACTACCATAATTTCAAAGAGAATTCATGGGTAGTTACCACTTGTGTCCTCGGGCTCCAGCTTTGCAGAAATTGACAAAGCAAGGATGCCAGCCTAATAGCCTGGGTACCATCACAGAACCTTTAGAACTCACTTTACTCAACTTTCAACTCTTGGTACTTGTCAATTTTACATCACTAGGGCCTAGAGAAGAGGCTCATAGCAACTGCAAGGCCCTCTCCTTTTGAGTTAAATAAATTTATTTCACTGAGCCCCATGAGAGTCTATGTAGTTAAAGAGTCATAAATAAAAAGTTTTTCTTAACTATAAACTACATTTTGTGATGGTCCTAGAAACCAAAATAGTTCATTGTTACTCTTGCCTAAAAATTCACTGTGATATCAACAAAGAGAACTCCCTGCAAAACCAGAGGTATACATTTTTCTAGATTCTTAGATTCTAGATTCTTAGATAAATCTAAACATGAATCGTATTTGTTTCTCTCAAAGATCACAGAGATCCACAAGACAGAAAATCCTCCTCCCATTTTTGTGGCAAAGTCCTTTGAAGGAAATGAATTCTGCCCCCTCCCCCAAAACAGTCCTGACTTATCTATTAGGTATAGTAAGGACAGTGCTTCAAGCCCACAACCCTTTTAGATGTCAATAGAAATTTTTCTTTTCAAGTCAGACCATTAAAAAAAATCAAAGAAAATGTTGAAATACATAACGTTAAAATATTAATCTTCATTTCAATATAACCATAAATATATGTGTGTAAGTATAGGAAGAAGGGGACCCATTTTGCCTCAAAAAATCCTCTCTCTCTCTCTCTTTTTTAAAAATTATTTCTTACGTATTCCAGATGGCAAGTTCCTTTTTCAGCTAGGGAAAGTTCCCACCTCTTCGCAAGAAATGCTTGTTTTTACCTAATTTCTCTGAGAAAAGGAATTTGTTTTAGAAGTTTTGGGGGACAAGTTTTAAATTAATATGTATTCAGCGAGGAAGTCTCTCCCCCAAAGTTAATTTTTTAAAGAGAAGGAGGAAAGTGGGAGGAGATAAGCCCTTCTTCATACTATACTCTGACAGCCCTGACAGCATCAAGGAAATGCAATATCCGGTGCTCGCCTCTGGACGAAGGGCAGAAGAGACCTTCGCTCCTCTTGCTCGCTTTATTCCACGGCGGTGCAGCAGGGGGCGCGTGGCTTTCGGTACGCGAAGCTGCTCGCTCCCCAGAGCCTCAAGGACCGTATCCCTATTTGCCCCAAGGTCATAGCTCCTAACCTAGCTTGCCAGTCCCCGGCCGGGGACACCCGGCAGTAAACCCTCGGGGCTGGAGACCCCGGCGCCGGTGGGGTCAAGGGGGTGGGGCGGGAGGGCTCTGAGGCCGGGGATGCGATCACAATGCGGACGACGGATGAAAAGAACCAGGGGCCCGGGTCCCGAGCAGTCAGCGCGGCCGCCAGACTCCGCACCAGGAGGGGGATGGGGTGCTCCTAGACGCTTGCCAGCCCCAGTCCCATCCAGGAGCCCGGGAGCCGCCGCCGCCGCCGCCACGCGCGCCCAGAGCTTGGAGCCTCGTTGCCAGCCCAGGGACCCGGGGCCCGGGCCGCGGGCCGAGGGGAACCGGGGGGCAGGAGAGGAGGTCCTGAGCCCAGCAGAGCGCCCGCCGAGAGGGCGTTCTCCCCGCCCCCGGTGCCTCGCCCGCCTGACCCGCCCCAAGCACTGGGAGATCACCTCCGCCCGTCACCTCCTCCTCCCCTCATCCAGGTCCACCCGGGGCTCCCTCCCCCGGGCCACCCCCGAAACGCGAAGTTGGCGGGAGCCTATAAAAGCCGGTGACGGCGCGACCCGCGGACACACGGTGCAGGCGCCCGAGGAGCAGCCGCTTCTAGAACGGCGCCAAATCCTGCCCTGCCTCGACCAGCCGCACGACCATGGCCCATCACTGGGGATACGGCAAGCACAATGGTGAGTGCAGCAGGAGGGCGGCGCGGCGGCGGCGGCACCCGGGGCCCCAATGTCGGCCCCGGCCCGGGCCCCGGCCCCGGCCCCGGCCCCGCAGCGCCCGCACCTGCTGTTTACCGTGGCTAGTCGGAGCACCCGAGGCAAGGTGTGCCCCCGAGCCTGCCCCGCCCGCTGCTCCCTGTCGCTGGGATGCCCCCGTTGCCCCAGCCCCTGGGGTCACTGTCGAGGAATCCCCGCGTCCAGCGGTGGCGCGTAGGGCGGGAGGGAGGAGGAGCGCAGCCTCAGCCTGGGGACTGGAGGACAGTTGCCCTCGGGTCCCGAACGGAGACTATCCTAACCGGACCTAGGAGGAAGCGAGGAAGGGTTGTAACGGGAAAATTTTAGTTGTTGATTGCAGAAAAATTAGGGGACCCTCCCTTCCCCCTACACACTTCATTCTCAGCACCACCTGTGGCTAAGGCGCTCAGCACAAACTGTCCCGGGGCATTTTCATGGGCTGGTTTGAATCCATCGCGGTGATTTCTGAGTTTACCCATCATCTCTGATCTCTTAATGTTAGGGGGTCACCAGGAACCCGGGTTTATCATGGCTACTGATCTGGGTTCTCCAGAGCCAACCGACGCAAAAGAAAGATGCGTCTGGCGCCCCTTGCGCATCTGGGGGTGGGGTGGGGGCTTCCCTGATCTTTACAAGAGAGGTGCCCGGGTCTGAGCAGTGACTGGCCTTCACATTCAGTAGGAGGACTCCAGGGAGAAATCCCAACCGGCTCCAAGGTCTTAAATGAGCTTGAATATCCTAAATGCTAACCACAAGCCCTGCGGTAGTGTCTGCCCAATTTCAGTTGCAAATTCAATAAAATGAGGGTAAAAATAGGTAATATTTATATGGCACTCTGTTTGTTCAATGACCTTTCATATATTGATTCCAGTTCTCATAACTTCTCCAGTGCCGATGTTATGACCCCATAATACAAATGATGAAACTGAGGCACACATTGTTTTCCCAGAGGTATTCAGCTAAGTGGGGCCACCAAAATTGGAATGGATCACATTGGCTCCAGAATCATTGCCTCTTTCTAGTGCTCTGGTTGTGCCCTTCCCCACACTGGGGGATTCACACATCTCTTCTGACCACTAGGACCCGAGCACTGGTATAAGGACTTCCCCATTGCCAAGGGACAGCGCCAGTCCCCTGTTGACATCGACACCAAAGCAGCCATTCATGACCCTGCCCTGAAGGCTTTGTCTCCTTCCTATGAGCAAGCGGTTTCTCGCAGGATCATCAACAATGGTCACTCTTTCAACGTGGAATTCGATGACTCCCAGGACAAAGCAGGTCAGTGTTTAAAAAATAACGTGTGCCTTTTACCCAGTATTTTCCCAGCTTAATGAGAGGAATCAGGAGCAGTGGCTTAATCCTACAGTTTGTCTCAGTACTCAAAGATGCCACTTTGCTCATCTTTGTTAGGTCCCAGGCTCTGAGAAGTAGGCTAATTACTTTGAAGTGTTCCAGGGCTGTTGCTCCTCTATACAATTCCTGGTTTCTATGTAGGTCACCGAATAACTGTGATCTGCTTGTGAAAAGTCACAGAAGGCAAGGTCGCTGGGATGTGAAGATCAGCAAGGATGGGATTTGCAAAAACTGAAATTTTTAAGATTCTTTCTAAAATATTTGTTTTCCAGAATTGATCCTATCCAATAAAAAGTACCTCTTTAGTGCTCTCTTCAAGGCAGCAGACAGGGGAGTGATGAAAACCTCACTATTTAAAATAGTGAAAATTTTTTGAAACATTGTATTTATGGGTACAAATGTGATAAGAGGAGGCAGTACTTTTTGGTATCCACCCAGAAATTCATTCCACAAATGAAGATGTTTTAGAGTGGGTAGGCATTGGCCCACCTGGCCCATTGCTGACAAAACCAATTACTGTAATTTTTCTGTAGTGGAGCTGTTTACAGGAAGCCCATTGAATGCTTCTTTTTTTCTTATTTAGAAACAGGAGAACAATCCCATTCAGACATGGTAGCAGCTTTCTTTGCCCACTGGTTGGTTTAATTGCCAGTGCCCTATTTTCCTGAGTGCTTTCCTCTGAAGGTCATTGCAAACATATGATGAGCGGTGATGGTATGGGAGCAGGGAAAGCATGGGGCAAAAAGAGAGCACAGAGAAACAGGGATGCATTCAATAATGCTGTCAAAATTTTGGAGTAACGACTGATAGTACTAATATATAAGTGTGATTATAATCGCCATAGCCTAGTTGACCATTCTTTTTTTGTAGCTCTCTTATATATTCAGTCCAGTTTGGAAAAATCCCTTCTCCCCCTGCTTCAAACACTTTTTTGACACTTGGATTTCTGAAATAGTGATTCTGGAAGACAACTTGATGGAGGGTGATGTGGAGATCATCTGAGAAATGTTTTCAACATACCTGTGCCCTGGGTGCACCTCCCCCCAGTACACACACAAGCACACACACATATTCTGGCATAGTATAATGAGTAATTAGACTTTGATTATTAGGTTTAATAGAGGATGTTTCCTGAAGACATTCCTTCAATCATTCTGCTACACTGCCTTCCCAAATAAGCCTCCCACTCCAAAGAAACAATGCTCAAATGATTGGGCTAAATATGAGGGAAACAAATTTCTTCCCTTCCTTTTAAAGATACTGTATACTTTGATTATAATAGGACAAGACCATAGGTCTTGGTGGTATTATACATACAGAAAGGATGCTATAAAAGTTCATGTTTAGTTATTCAAAGACCAAAAAAAGTGAGCTATTTTAGTCTGTACCTATCAACTTCTACAAAAAGAGATGCAATGAAGGTATGTTTCAGTGTTGCCAGTGAGATCATCGTTTTCAATGAGAGCCATGTCTACCTCATATACCTCATTTGGGGAGACATAGACATTGGGTACTTTTTTTGGAGCAATGAGGAAACAAATGTCTAACAAATAGAACCAGATGAGATAATTCCCTGTATTCCTTACAAATCTGGTCATGAAGTAATTGTGCCAGTAGTATATTATTACTGGAAAATGGATTTCAGCATTTAGAGTAGCAACTCTGAGCATGGAATGGGGTCAGAGATCCATGGGCTCAAGTTCCATCTCTGCCACTAACCAGCTCAGTGGCCCTGGGAACAACAGCAACTTAATCTCTCTAATTTTTAGTTTCCTTAACTGTAAAATTGGAGTAAGAGTAGTTTCTACCACGGAGGAAGGATTAAATGGGACAATAGATATGAAGCACCTAGCCTAGCACTTGGCATGTAATAATTCCACAGTAAGTGACCATTGCTGTTTCCATGTCTTCATACCATTTGACTGCTTTTATTAGGCAATTGTTGTAGGGATTGCACCTGTGATAAGATTTCTGAAGAAAGTTTCTGATGAGCTGTAAGATTACCTGCCATCACTTGATGGGATTTAAACATTTTATTTTTATATGTTCCTGGACATCCCATTTATCATATTAAAGTGTGTACTGATTTTATATGAGACGTTATATAGTTACATGTTTTAGCATGGATATGTCGAGTCCTGATGGATTTCTACACAAGCAGTAACTGATTAGAGCTAGCCACACTTTTCTAAGTACTTTTCCTGGCGAGTAACACATATATTATGAAAGCCATGTTTAGATTGTGAAGAAAGTGGTTCCAGTGGGGTCTCAAATCTATGTCTTTAGAGACACACGTGTTCTTCACTCAGTTCTTGTAAAAAAACCAACCACCACCACAAGAAAACCCTTCCTAACGCCAATTGAATGCAAGATCAGCTAGGTACCATGAAGGCAGGATTGAGGCCTGGTCTCTTGTATCCCTTGAACTCATGCTGTGCAAGCCTCAGGTGGAAAGGCAGAGAAATAACAGATGCTGACCATGACCTTGGCAAGCCCAAGAAGGACATATGTTGTTCCATTCCAAGGAACAATGGAAACATGAAAGAGACTTAGGAGTCATCCTGTGTAAGTCAGGAAAGACTTTCCAGGGTGAATAAAACTTGTGGTGAGGCTTGAAGGATTTTGGTGTCTTGGAGGAGACTCCAGGCCGGAGAAGTAGGAAAGACCCCGGGATTTGAAAGAGTGCAGTCTTTACTCTGACAGACGAGGAAGAGTTAATGTTAGAATGACCTGCTCTCCTTTATGAATGAAAGATCCCTTTGTAACTTTGCCCAAACCTCTTCAACATTGTCAGTTGTTCTGGTTAAACAAGGAAGCATTTTTTATTTTATTTTTTCTAGGATGCAGACTATATTAAAATGTTGGCATTAAGGAAAAACACATCTATAGAATAAAACAAACAATCATACCATGCTGAGAAACACCCTTTTGACTTTTTTTTTTTTTTTTAAAGAATCCTAGACTCTCAAGTAGAACAAATGATGGAGATATTCCATTCAAATTCACTTAAACATGAGGAAACAGAATGCTAAGGAATTTAAATGCCCATCACTTAAAAATAGAAGTTGAATAAGAATCTTTGAATGATAACCAGAGTTAATATTTAGTGTGTACATACCATGGTTTTAAAAATTGATATGTTTTTCTATACACTTAAGTCTAAAAATAATTTCTTCATTTTGGTCACTCGATATTTTAAGTCGACAACTTAACATCTCTTTTTGTTAGGAGTTATTTTTATGGCATTAACATTTTTAGATATCTTTTAGGTCTTGTTTTCTACATTGATAGAGCTTCAGTTCATTTTAATTGATTTATTTTTATTTTTAGTGTGGTTTCAGCCTTCTAGAATTTCTCATAGATTTAAGTTTTCAAATACATCCTAAATATTACCTTAGACTCGAACTTAAGTGCTCAGTTATCAGGAAATGAGCTGGTTGTGTTTATTAGTATATTTGAGCTTGAGATAATTCTTTTTAAGTGTGGAGTTAATAAAAAAAATTGCGGGGTTAATAGGCTTTAACTGGAAGCTCTCATCAATCTTCTAAATTCTTTTAAAAATAAACCACCTTTAATAAATGAAAAGTTGTTAATCCTGTTAGGCTTTTCAAAAAAATTATTAAAAAATAACTCTCTCTGCTTGAGTTCTTTTATTACTAGCTTTATCTGGGAGAAAAAAATACTAGTCAAATTATTAACTTCTGCTAACTCATTAAGTTTTAGGGAAGAGTTTAAAACTCTCCTGCCTTATTACAATGTTAGATTCAAATATTGAAAAACCAATGCCTGAAATTATTGAGCCAATCTATATACAACTCTCATATCATTTCTGTTCTTTAGAAATGGAAATATTTTTATCTGTTTATATTATTTCAAGAAAAAAGGAAGGAAACAGTTTACTTATGCTCATTTGAAGCAGACCATTGTCTGTATGACATAATAGAGCTTCATACATGAGTCTTGCTTTTCAAGGACTTGCTTTTGAAACTTTAAAATTATCCTTCCATGAATAATTTTAAGTTAAAAGGAAACATAATAGCAACAAGTGAAAGGGTTTGTTGTGCATACTGTTAATGTTATAAGCAGAAACCTAAGTATTCATAAAACTGACCAAAGCATTCTAAGTTCTGTATTTAATTATGTTCATGTCAAAAGAGTTTCTTTTTTTATACTCTTCTATGATTTCCATATACCTGTAACTAAAAATTTCTGTTCTGTTGATTTTTAATTGTTGTTTACCGCAGTGAAAGTGACAGCTAAACATCTCACTATTTAAAAGAAATGGATTGTCGACATCTTGTCCTCATTCATTTTCTTGATTTTAGTATGTCAACCCTAGGATTATTTGCTACTACTAAAAAAACAAAACAGCAATGCATGATTTAATAATTTTAAAAGTATTCATAAAAGAAGATTGTTTACCTGCTGGGAAATGCCGCAGTTTTAGTAGACTTAGTCCTTTACTTCATTAATAAGAAATCTCTCAAATTTGAATTTTAAACTAAAGATTATTGGAAATGGGCTTATCTGTATTTTAGATTTAAGAGAGATTATCGATATTCATTAAGATATTTAGTTTGTTATTTGGATACATCTTACGTTAAGTAATAATAAAGTGGGAAGAAAAAATTTAAAAATGTTAATTTTTCAGTTTTTAATTTGCACAGCTAGTCTTATTACTGGGGTGGTATCTTAATTTTCACAAAAACAGAATTCACATAACTTCCCTAAGTAATATATATAGGAAGACAGATTATAATATAATTAGTACTTATTTTGTGTGTTATGTATGCAGTATGTATAACTGATGGGAGATCATCAAAATTAAAATTAGCTGGAGCTCTTGGTATTGAGATTTGGATTTAAATTAAGTTTTGGGAATCTTGAAAAAGATATCCTGGTAGAAAACCCCATTTATATCTCTCCCATCCCTGTGGAACACATTTCTATGATACAATTAATTATTGACTCCTCAGGGCCCCCACCAGCAGGGCTGGGTTTTAAAGAGGAAAAACACAGTCTGCAGTTTATATTACCTTTTCAAATTACTTTTGCATCGGAAAAACAGACTTCATTTTAAACTGGAACAGTTCAGAAACGGCAAGTAGCAATCCAAATAAGTAAATAAATAGGTAGATCTGGAAAAAGTGCAAACTCCGTATCTCTCAACCAAATATACTTTTATTTTGCAAATAAAAAAAATATATATATATATGCTACCTTTATCGGGGTTTGTGGTGATTTATTATTATAATGATGTTTTGGGGGGGACTTCATTGACAAAACTCCATGCTAAGAATTTGCCGAGAAATAAGTAACTAGCTCAAGAAGACAAGAAATGCTTCTTTTTGTAGCAATTAAATTTTAAGAATTTAATAATCTCTCCTAGGTACGATGGGCTTCTAATCTACATAGCAACATAGTTTTATTTTAACAGGAGCTAAAGCAGGTGCCTGGTAATAATAGATTAGCACTTAGTAAGTTTAATCATTGAACCCAGAGCATTTTTTTTTAATTAACAAAGCTTATTTAAGAAAAGCTCATATACATTCTTGCCTAATTCTAAATATTCTCTGAAATAAATAAATTAGGCTGGAATCTTAAGGTCTTCAAGGGAGTGAATAAGAATAGGAAATAGCCAGTAAGCTTTATTATTTTTAAAATTTAAGATTCTGATATGATTCTTTATAAGGGAAAGGAGATTCATTTAGAATGATAAGTTACACTGGTTGCTCAATATGGTTTTATTTCATTTATTTTGCCACTGGGTAGAATTAATGATGTTAGGATATTTGCTTTTTAGGATCAGCCAATTAGTAGCTTTAAAGTGATTATAAAGGAATTGTTTCAGTACCAATTTATCTCATAAATATATATTTTGTTTTGAGGGTATATCATTATGAAAAATGGGAATTTTCTCATTTTTGAAAAAGCCTAGAGGATGGGGCAGATAAGGCTAAGTCTTTCCTTATAGGATTATTAGATTTAAAAAAATTTTTATAATAATTTGTTTTTAAGGTTCAAAAGATGTGATTTTATCAGAATATACCCAAATCGATGATATAACACCACTTCTGATTGGTTCTTTTTCTTTTTTTTCTTTTTTTTTTTTCTTTTATTTAATTCCTTCTTTTTTTCTCCTGGCCTATTGTAAGGCAGAGCTGGCAAGGAGAGATTGTATCAAGAGCTGTAGGAAAGGCCTAAATGTCTTCCAGCCAGCTCTATTTTTTCCTTTGGGTAAATGAACGGGTGTTGCTACCGTTTATGTGTATTTGGGTGAAGTTAAGCAAATTTGATTGTACAGACTTTGTTGCTTTGTTCTGCAAAGCCAAAGTAAGTTTGGGCTCATTGTTTTATAGATTTATAACCCAAAGCTATTAAAATACAATTATAAAAATAGATGGTAGAACTAAACTAATTTTAAAAGCTTTTAAATATATTGGTAACATTTCAATAATACATATAACTTAAATAAAAAGTTTATGGAGAGGATGGGGAAACTGATTTCATACTATATTAATTCTCTGTAACACACATATCATTAATTATCTGCAAATAGACTATGGTCTAAGAAGATGACATCTAGTCACATTCTTCCATCTTGTGTTTTTCTCTAACAAAGTTATATTAATACCAGAAGAGTAGAATCATTAGGCAGTTATTAAAGTTAGAATTTTAAGGTTTTGGAGACAATAGAGTACTGCATATGTTAGATGATCAGCAAACTCTCAGTGAAGTAATAAACAATTGAACGTATCCACTTTACAGATGAGGACATTAAGGTCAGAAACGTTCAATAAAAAATTTTAATGGGGGGCATGTGGGTGGCTCAGTCGGTTAGGCAGCTGACTTTTGGTTTCAGCTCAGGTCATGATCTCAGGGTCCAGGGATCAAGTCAGTGTCAGGCTCAGGGGTGCCTGCTTGAGATTCTCTCTGCCTTGCCCTTCCCCCCAACTCATGCACCCACTCTCTCTTTCTCTTTCTAAATAAATCTCAAAAAAATTTTTTTTTTGAATGTACCAAGCTAGTTAATACCAGTGACAATCCAAATTCTGGAGAATTTGGAAGGCCAGGGCAAGGAGAATTGGATATTCTACTAAGATCAATAGAATGCTTATGGTTTCACAAATTCTGGAGGGTAAGAACTGGCCTCGGAGGTTAGTGAAGCAGGTGGTAGACGGCCACTGGGCCATGTAGAGCAGCGGTTCCCATGCTAGTCAGTGTGGGCCACAGACCCACACTGGCAAGCAGCTGCACGGGCACTTCCTCAGTGATTCACAGAGGACTTAATAATTCCACCTAAAATTTCCTCTTTCTCAACCAGCACCTCTGACTCCAAACCAAATCCAGAAGAGAAGTATCACTGTGCTCAGAAACCAGATGGGAAAAACACCCATCCTTCAAGCCAACACGAGTGAGGAGAGAAGCCAGCTGAAATGATTTTGTTCAGCACTATAGACTAAACTTGAGTGTGGACTTAATTTTCCCAGAGCGAAAATGTTGCTACAGGCATAAATTTAGAACTACGAAACGGGGTTAAATTAGACTTTAATATTTAATACTGTTTGTGTTTCATGTGCATATGTATGTGTATATGTGTATACACATGATTGTGTGTATGTATATACATTCATATACATATAAACACACACATATGCACATATATAGTATACATATACATATATTTTATATATATATATATATATTTTAAATTTTAGTGCTGAAAGGAGGACCCCTCACTGGCACTTACAGATTGATTCAGTTTCACTTTCACTGGGGTTCATCTGATGGGCAAGGTTCTGAGCACACTGTGGATAAAAAGAAATATGCTGCAGAGGTAAGAGACGCTTTTTTGCTTTGCAGGGAAAGATGTAAATTGATATTCAGCATTAATTTCAAAACCTTAATTTTGTAAATTCGACTCAATCTAAATGAACTTTTTTCTTTTACAAAGGACCTTCATATTTGCTTCTTATAACTTTTATTTGTGATATTATAATGAATGCTGCAAAACATTCTCTACTACTTCCAAGAACATCATTTGCAAAAAATAAAATAAATTCAAATTGGAGGATCCCATTTTAATATGAATCTAGAAATAAGCTTTGTGTCTTCCCATAAGAACATGTAACTCTTTGTCTTAGAGTTGATGAAGTCATTTGCTGTTATGCCAAATAGTGAATAATTAGAATTAAAATGAAAGAAAAGTTTATTTTTTAAGTTATCCACACGTTTACTTTCTTTAGTAACCTCTAGCTAAGAGGCAAAGATCACTGGATGAAACCTGTAGGATTTATTATGTGTCTCATTCATTGTGGTTTTGTCTCCCACTGCTTTAGCTTCACTTGGTTCACTGGAACACCAAATATGGGGATTTTGGAAAAGCTGTGCAGCAACCTGATGGACTGGCTGTTTTGGGTATTTTTTTGCAGGTTAGTTGATGGCCCAGTTCTTTTTTCCCCTGTTTTTTTAATAAAGATTAAGCAAACAGAACATTCAGAGTAAACAGGACATCCTACAAAGAGCCTCGGAAATGCCTTTGGCTCTGAAATATTTTCAGGCACCTGTTCCCCCTCCACACCCCCCACCCCCCACCATAGTAGCTAGTAGCAGTGGAGAAACAATCTGAGAGGTATTCATGAGGTGCTATTTATATGTAAATGTGAAGGGTGTATACATGGGAAATGTGAAAGGAAAAAGAGGTATACTTCAGATGACTACCGGTTTTTGTTTTAAAATTTGTCCCTAACTAGATAGTACTGTTTCATGATAGACTGCTAAAGTAAGATCAAGTTTTGGAGGGCTCAAGGGCAGCGACCCAGTATTGGAGAATTTCAGGCACCAGTGGGACTTACAGGTTGAGCTGCCCTCCAGACAGTTATAAAGCAAGTGGAGATAGGTCTAGGCTGGAGATTCATGAAGCCTGACATCATATGTCAGGTGGGAGCTACACATGAGTATGAAATCATCCAAGAAAAGCCTGAAGAGGGAGATGGTAAAGCTGCTGAGCATGCAGTCCCAAGAAACTGCAAAATGTAAGACATTTAAGGCAGTGGAAAGATGCTAATGAAATGGCTAAAAAGGAATACAAGAGTCAAGGGAGACTGATGAAGTTGGAGGGCAGAGGGAAAGCCAAAGGAGGAGAGAATTTCAAAAAGAAGAGAAGTCAATAGTATAAAATCCGGCAAAACGAAGGTAAGAACTGAACAGTGTTCTTTGTTTTGGTAGTTGGAGGTCAGCTAGCGGTCACTGGTGATCTTTAGGGAGTAGATTCAGGAGAACTATGGGGTGGGGTGGGGGGGCAGAACTCGGAGGGAAGTTGTCGGTGAAAGTGGGGAAGTTCATGGTGCCTGTGTAGTCAGAGTAAGATGGTTGAGTGGCATGTAGCAAGTGGGAGACTTTGGTGCACTACTTGGAAAAATTTTATGGTAGAGCTGCTCAAATCAACACTGATGTAGTACCAACAGGATTCCAGTATCTTGTATGTTGTGTCTTTCTATAGATTGGCGATGCCAGACCAGGCCTACAAAAAGTCCTCGATGCCCTGGATTCCATAAAGACAAAGGTACAGTTGAATTTTTTTGCCACCTCAATAGAGTACTTTTTTTAAAATTTATTATTATTATTTTTTTTAATATCCCATTGGTTTTAGGAAACTTTCTGGATCAAAATAAATAGTCTTGCTTTGACATGTGGTGTTTCAATAAGGAGTTAATAGAGGTAAAATGTTGCTTATCTATTCATTTAACTTTTCTTTATCTGAAGGTTGAGCCTAATGCTAGTATCATTTTAAGACTTGCATTTATTTAGTCTTGCTTCCCTATCGTTTGAACACTCATATTACAAGAGTCAGAGAATTCTCATGACTATAAGGAAACTGAAAGATCATTGGGTCAAATTATTCCTTCATTCATGCAGCAGATATTCGTGGGGTATTTGCTCTGTGCTGGTTACCTGGTTAACGTAGGAGAGACATTGGTGAGCATGAAGAATAACCATCCCATGTTGGAATTCTCTCTATGGCAGAGCCACGTTTAGGTCATTGAACATCTGCTACGTACGATCACCAAGGACAGCTCTGGCTTTATAAAGCTTATCCTCAAACTGAAGCCACATTTATGTTTTGAAAGGCTCCCTTATTACTCCTGGCTGACCCCTTTGGATTATGTGGAATAAACCTAATTTAAAACACTTATTTAAAAAGATATATGTACTTTCATGTTCATTGCAGCATTATTTACAATAGCCAAGATCCAGAAATAGTCTAACTGTCCAAACTGGATGACTGGATAAAGAAATGTGCTATATATAATATAACTATTTATGTAACATATTATATATATAAAATATAATACAATATGTTATAATATTATGATATAATAATATATATATAATTATATATAATATATTATATATACACAATAGAATATTGTCCAGTCATAAAAAAGAAGGAAATCTTGCCATTGATTACTATGTTGGTGGACCTTAAGGCCATTATGCTAAGTGACATAAGTCAGACAGAAAAAGACAAATACCATATGATCTCACTTATATGTGGAATCTAAAAAACAGACAACAAAAACAAAAACACAAAGAAGTGAGCTCTAGATACAGAAAACAGATTTGTGGTTATCAGAGGTGGGGGGAGGTGAGTGAAGGGGGTCAAAGGGTACAAAGTTCCAGTTATGAAATAAGTAACTCAGGCACCTAGGTGGCTCAGTCAGTTAAGCTTCTATCTTCAGCTCAGGTCATGATCATGGAGTCCTGGGATCAAGTCCCATGGCGGCTCCCCACTCTGTGGGGAGTTTGCTTCACTCTTTGACCCTAACCCTCTCGTGCTTTCTCCCTCTCACTCTCTTTAAATAAATAAATAAAACCTTTAAAAATAATAATAAATAAATAAGTCATGGGGATATAATGTACAGCATGGTGACTATTAATAATATTGCATTGCATATTAGAAAGTTGCTAAGAGTAGACTTTTTTTTTTTTAAGAGCAGATTTTCGAAGTCCTCATCATAAGAGAAAAAAATTATTAGTAACTGGGCTGTAACTTAGTAACAGACTGTTACATGTTAACAAGTAGACTTATTGTGGTGATCATTTTACAATATACGTAAATATCAAATCATTATGTTGGGCACCTTGAAGGTAATATAATATTATGTGTTAATTATACCTTAGTAAAACAAAACGAAACAAAGTAAAAAACATGGTCCTTCTTTCTTTTGACCCCATTCTCTAATAGCATTTTACTTACCCTCAGGCTAGTTACCTTTAGTGCCCTTTAACTATTCCCATACAGCAATTTTCTCTGTTTGTAACAACCTTGTCAGTCTACTTGAAGCTCTCTGCCTTGTACATCTAATGCTTTGAAAGTGTAGTGTCCAGAAAGGAAACGGGTTCTTTAGTCCTGATCTGGTGATCAGATAGAATAGCAAGACAATTACCTCCTTATCAAAGATACTATATTTTTGTTACTGAGGCCTAAAATTGCATTATTTCAGTGGCAGCAGTTTTGTTTTAAATGCTGGATGTGATCAGTTAATAACAATGGAAATTATAAGGGATGATTTGAGAGGACAAGATGAGAATTGGACATGAGAAAATTAGAGAGTCAGGCTCTCTTGCCCATATCTGCTCAACTATATTTCCAAGTCAAATATCTCTCTTAATTTCTTTTTTACTTTGTTTTCTGGTCAACATGGGACCTCTTAAAAAAAAAAAAAAGTTTTGGCAATCAGAGGGGAATATGTTTCCTAATCTCCTGCCGTCCTCCTGCTCTGATCATGTGGCATTTGTAACCTGTGTGTTTGCCTTCTTCCAGGGTAAGAGTGCTGACTTCACTAACTTTGACCCTCTTGGCCTCCTTCCTGGAAGTTTGGACTACTGGACCTACCCAGGCTCACTGACCACTCCTCCCCTTCTGGAATGCGTGACCTGGATTGTGCTCAGGGAGCCCATCAGCATTAGCAGTGAACAGGTCGGTTTTCTCAAGTGAGGTAGAGCCCTTCGTCCAGGCAGAGGAGCTTGGCTTTTGGATTCGGACAGACCCGGGGTTGAATCCTCCTGCTCCTGCTTCTAGATGTGGAACTAGTGTCCATAACAGTGCTTAGCAGATAAACAGCATTCAAGAAGTATTTGCTGGGATTAGCCATAACTTTAGGCAGGTTGTTTGCTCTGTACAACTGGATAATCATGAGGATTAAGTGAGAAAGGTGTCTGTCACCTAATAAATGCTTTTATATAAGGTACAAGGAAATCGAGGCCCAGGACAATGAGATTTCATATTCAAGGTTCCATAGATATCAGGGGTAACTTACAGGTAACAGCTCACTCACATGAGAGCTTACCCAGTTTTCTTTCTTTTTTTTTTTTTTCAATTTATTTTATTTTATTTATTTATTTTTATTTTTTATAAACATATAATGTATTTTTATCCCCAGGGGTACAGGTCTGTGAATCGCCAGGTTTACACACTTCACAGCACTCACCATAGCACAGACCCTCCCCAGTGTCCATAACCCCACCCCCCTCTCCCAACCCCCCTCCCCGCCAGCAACCCTCAGTTTGTTTTGTGAGATTAAGAGTCACTTATGGTTTGTCTCCCTCCCAATCCCATCTTGTTTCATTTATTCTTCTCCTACCCCCTTAACACCCCCCACCATATTGCATCTCCACTTCCTCATTATTTCTATCAGAATACATTTCTGAATTCTGACAAAAGCAAAAGCCATCCCTTGGAGAAAACTATCTATCAAAACTCACTCCAAATTGCTCTAAAGCCCAGACCACAGATTCTTACCTTTCCCATACAATATAGTTTATGAGGTTCAAGTTATTAATGCAGCTTCTGGGTCACCGATAGTACCCATAGACTGTCTCTATTCCCCCCACAGTTGAAATGTAGAAAACGGACAGTCCTCTGTAGGGTCCACAAGAACTTGGATCCTGGATAATTTAACTAATGTTACAGTAACTGACTGACATTGAATTTGACTTCAAGGGGTGAGACTGAGGGAATATTACTGGACCAAAGAGATCAGGTGAAAGGCTGTTGATTTGTGGGTTGCTTCATTACTGCCCAAATCACCCTTCTTCATTTAGATCAAGACTTGCGAAGGCAGAGGGACGTACCACTTTGTAAAAACAGCCTCAAAGAAGTAGGAAACTGGTTAAGGGCTGTGTCCCATCACTGGGCCAGGGAACTAAAGCGAGGTTAAAGGGGAATAAAAATCAGCGAATGTCAAGGATTCAAAATCCCAGTTTGTGCAAATTCATTTATGTGTTTCTGTACATTAAAGCAGAGATGTGCACCAGTCACTTATCTCCTGGAGCTTTTGGATCCTGGACCACTTTATCCAATAGTACAGATGCTGTAGTTTATCTTCCTGGGGCAGAAAACAAAACTCTATAATTTGGATCTAGAATTTTTATTATTATTTTACAACTCAGAAGTGTTTTATAGGCTTTTGATGGTTGATTTTTAAAATTAAGAGGGGAAAAAAATAAGCCCACTAAAAATTTCCTTCTAAACAACACCAACAATCTTGTGTGTATTTTCCAGAAATTGACTTGTCATCTAAAAGCATACATATATAATGTTTATGTGATTGTATATTTATTGGGAACCAAAGTGAACTTTGAATTTTGATACATACATAGTATGGTGACTATTGGTGAATATGGGAGAATAAGCACATAAATGAATACTATTGGGAAACTTGTATTTTAAAATTTTTTATCTTGTATTTTGCCTTTTAGATGATGAAATTCCGTAAGCTTAACTTCAATAAGGAGGGCGAGCCTGAAGAACTGATGGTGGACAATTGGCGCCCAGCTCAGCCACTGCACAACAGACAGATTAATGCGTCCTTCAAATAAGATGGCCTCAGAGCCCACATCCAGATAGTGGATATTCGGGATATTAGCTAAGCACAAATCTACCTTGGTGGATCGGACCTTGGCTGCTTTGTGTCTGGTTTTCTAGATCCTTATCTCTCACCTGTTGTCCTCATTAGTAAAATGTGAAGAACTTGACCAGCTGTCGTGCTTGACCAAATTGCTGTGATTGGTGCTTTGGTTCTGGTAATAGCCTTTCTGTAGGAGAGAATATAATATAAGGAATAAGAGAACAAAGCATCTTGACTTTGTTCGTAGCACATGGGGTGATGAGCACGGACAATTGTTCACAAAAATGCTAACTTTAAAACATAGGAAAGTAGAGTGATTGAGTGCAAATCCATTCCATGAGATAAATTGAGCTGTGTAATTTAAATCAGGTGAAAGAGTCATGATTCTAGGTAATGTAAATCAGATGAAATAAATGTTTATGATTCCGAGATACTATATTCAAGAAAAAAATTTTAAATTCTTATACATTTGTAGCAATGTTATCTGGAAAATGAATTATGTTGTAATTTAGTGACTTTTGAATTACAGAGATGTAAATGAAGTATTATCTGTAAAATTGTTATAATTATAGTTGTAATACAGAGTATATTTCCATTCAAATAATATATCATAACTTAATATTGTATTTTAGATATATTCTCTAATAAAATTTGGACTTCTATTTGGGCTTATTTTATTCTATGCTGGGTATTGGGTAATAATGGAAGAACAAAATGTGTTCTTTTATAAGTCCTGTTAACACATTATTAACAATAAGCCATCATAATTGGGTACTCACAGTTGTAGGAGTTTCCATAAAAGGAAAAACCCTGAAGGTCATGTATTAATTGCCAAGAGCTGTTTTAAGTGCTTTCTGAGCACTCATTCACGTGACCTTCATGAGAACCCTACAAGAATGAATCCTGCAAGAGAGAGAGGAACGGGTTAAACTAGAGTAGCAAGCCAGAGAAAAGTGTACGTGCAGAATCAATATATACTCCTTGGAAATAAAACAAATAAAAGTCCATTTTATTTAAAGAAGGGTATTTAAGTGGTACCCACAAGTAAAAGAATAATTCGAATCTTAGAAAGATAAATTATACCCTTTACACATAGGAAGAAAAATGAATATGTGAAATAAAAATCTCCCACTATTATGGCTGTTCTGGATTTAGCTGTGTGCCTGGACCATGGAATGAATTTTTGGCTGATGAGTTATTCTGGAAAGCCAAGTTTAACACATAACTCAAGTTCGACCCTTCATGGAATAAAACCTCTTTGGTATTGGAGATTAAAAAAAAAGAAAGTCTCTAAACTCAATACACTTAGGTGGCTCAGTTGGTTAAGCGATGGACTCTTGATTTCAGCTCAGTCACGATCTTAGGGTCATGAGATCGAGTCCTGAATCAGGCTCTGTGTTGAGTGTGGAGCCTGCTTAAGATTTTCTCTCTCCCCATACCCTACTCACTTTCTCTCTCTCTCTCAAAACAAAACAAAACAAAGTAACCTAAATTCATTTATACCCCTCACTTGCTTTACTAAAGAACTATGCTGAGTTTTGTTTAAGAGAAAGATCACAAGCTTTGGAGCTTGGTTTGTTTTGAGTCCCAATCTTTTCAACCACTCTGATCCTGTCCATAAAAAGAGGGTGGTGACATCCAGGATTGTGATGATTATATGATATCATGTCTGGTGTATAGGAGGTGGTCAGAAGTACTTTTTAAACTTCGTGTGTGTGTGTGTGTGTGTGTGTGTGTGTGTGTCTGTGTGTGTGTGTGTGTTATTTTGTTAACAGTACCATCAATTTTCCTTAGTTTCCCGGAATGAGGCTTCCCCTCTAATTCACTGGTTATTGCTTTGGGTAAGGAACCCATACAGCCAACCTTAACTAGAATTGTTTGTAAAGTAAAAGTAAACCTATTTCAGGTGAATTGCTGAGGACCTCTTCTAAACATAAAAGGAGTTTAATTTGTGCTTATCTTTACATATTGGTTTTCAGTTATATACTGAACCAGAAATTTATCAACAACTGAGTTCTATATAAAGATGAATTATTATGTGCTTAGCATATAACAGATGATCTCCAAATACTGCAATGAAAACATTTCGCTTTTGGCTAAAATTAAATTTAAACCAGGAGATAGTATTTATTTTACTTTTTTGAGCAATTTTCTTATATTTGTAAAGTGCCACAAACTATTTTAATTTAAATAAGTGCTTTTCAAATGTTCCAGCAAAATATTCCTTAAAGCAGAGAAGTAGTCTTAGTACTTAGCAGGCGCAGTTCAAAACAAACCATTGCTTCTTTAATGACTCATTTTTTTTTAAAGATTTTATTTATTTATTTGAGAGAGAGAGAGAGAGAGAGAACATGAGTGGGGTAGAAGGGAGGAACAGAGGGAGAGGGAGAAGCAGACTCCCTGACTGAGCCATCCAGGCACCCCTAAGATTTCTTTACTCCCACACTAGCCCATACAGATGGCACCTTGGTGACAGGGGAGCAGGTCAAGGTGGTTATGTTGTCCCCAGATGCTTGTTGGCCTCTGCTGTAGAGTGGTGGCCTGGGCTGGCCCTGTACCAATCTGCTTCTGCTGACCTGTTTCACTGGGTCTTTGGAGATGCCTCTAGCTGAACTGCTCCCCACCACTGCCTCCGGTTGCAGAGCCTGGAACTCCCCTATTACCCAGGAGGACACAGGGACACCTACCTCTTCTGAGCCTAGGTCCTGGAGCTCTAGATTTCCCTCACCACCCAGATTTGACCCTGAAAGACTGTATGCGTTGGAGGGGGTGGAGAATTACAACATCAGCACCTGACATCTTTGCTTCCTCTCCCCTCACCACTTTCCGCTGGGTCAGAAAAGGCAGTGTCCCTTTTTCCTGTGTGACAGGAGGCTCCCTTATATTCCACTTCCTTCTGGAGGCCACGCACATCTGGACCCTGCTCTAGGGGTCACAACAGCACATGGCACAGAAGGAAAATTAGTTTCATGGTAGGGGAAGTTCCATCAGAAAATATTTTAAAATTCCTATGTACCTTACACCTGGAAATATGTCGTCTCTGAAGGCTTCAGAGAGTTTCTTTAGTCTGTTTCGTAAAATCTAGTAGAAAGGAAGAAATTTAATTTGTGTTTCTTCCCCTTTTCTCCTCACCCTCTCTCTGCCTCTGATCCCTGCCTTCATTACGAGGGAATTTAGTGCTTAAATATGTTAACAGAGGTAGTATTATTACCTCTCATCTGGAATTTTTAACAGTTGGTGGAATGAACCGAAGAAAACCCTGAAGCTCTAAAACTGGAAAGTTCATGTTCCATAAAAAGAGAACTAGTCAATTTTCTCTATGTGTGTGAAACTCTAGGGTCAGGATGGTTCTTCTATGGGATCTGAGGGGAAGAGCACACCATATTAGCTGGAAACCACATCCAGACCCTCCGATGGAATTATATCCTGCAGAGTGGCATGCTGGCCTCATTATCAAGGACTTGTTTTATAAGAAGAGATGTCTGGAAAAGGTCTAGGAACAAACTTTCAGCCCTCAGCTGACAGGGGCCTGCACTTGCCTTTGGAGAGAGTGGGGCCAGTGCCCACTGGGGCCCTTGCACACTCACCTGTATGGTGGCTAGAACCACCCGCCTCTGCCATCCAAACCCGTGGCCCCAGGTGTCTGAAGATTTCCTCCACACACCTTGCCTTTGGAAAGAGAAATGTTTCTGATGTTTTTAGAGAAGGTATTCCTGGTCCTCCTCTTAGAATGAGGTTTCTGGCTTGTTTGACAGGGGTCTACATGCTCGCCCAGGCCAGGTCTCCGCAGTGTTGCCACTAGTCTTTTCTCTCCCTCCCTTCACCTGGGTTTCCGTTTTTTCTCAAAGGTTTCAAGTCTGCAGGCTTTGTCTGGCATCTATTCTCAGAGTTCTGGCAATAAGAATGATGCTTTTCAGCCTGAGACCTCTGCATGCAACACATATGTGTAGCACTCCAGAACAATTTTCTGTCACACACACACACACACACACACACACACACACACACACACACTGGCTGGCAATGTGTGTGTTTATGATGTATAAGATACTTTATTTATAGCTCTTTTAGTGAGCCACCTGGTCCTTTCAGGAGCCAATAATGCAATAGAATTTAGTGCTACAATTTTTCCACGTCACTCCCCTGGCCTATATTCTCAAAAATAAAGAGAAAATTCAAGTATTGCTCAGCAATGTGGACTGAAGTTATCACAGAGAGAAAAGAAGTGAAATTTTTTATCATATAGTGCATAGCGAGAAAAAAGCGACTCATCAACTCCATCCTCTTTCCCCTCAAGGACTCCATCTCCCTGGACTGTGGTCTCCTGTCCCCGGAGCCTCCCTGGGGCCTCATTTTCTCCTCGCTCTCTGAGTAATTTAGTTTCCATCTTCCCCTCCTCCTTCCTAATACACATGCGTGCACACTCGTATGTGTTTGTATACACACATGCACAGGTGAACACGAGCACACACTTGTACACACACACACAACCATCCCTTGATACTATCCTACACTTCAACATGCTAAAGGTCAGCAAAGGAAGGCACCTTCCATTTTAAAGTCTCCTTTTCATAAAGATGGTAGGAGAATTATAAATATTTATTTATGTATTTATGTATCTATTCATTTATTTTTATAAAGATTTATTTGAGAGAGAGCGAGCGTGTGTGTGTGTGCGCAAGAAGGGGGAGAGGCAAAGAGAGAGAGAATCTTACGTAGACTCCCCACTGAAGGTGAACCCTGACTCGGGGCTCAAAATCACAACCCTGAGATCATGACCTGAGCTGAAACCAAGTCGGACACTCAACTGACTGAGCCACCCAGGCACCCCTATAAATATTTATTTTTCTTGTCAGTAATATTTTTAATTCTTCTACCATACCTGTATTATCTTGCATGTCCTCAACAGAATAAAGTAAAAGTTATTTCCATTTTACAAATGAAGCCTTGGGGCTAGGACACATATCTAAATCCACACAGCAAATGCGGCAAAATGGGGCTGCAAATACCAGTTTTGTGTGCCCACTTTCCACTACACAACATGAAGGATGATCCTTGATGGTGCATGGCCTGCTCTCCAACCGTACAACTCCCCAGCCCCTGGCCTGTGTTTTCTCTAAACTGCTGGGTTTGGGGGCCCAAACCCCAAGGAATAAGGCCCACCAGGCTGGGCTGGTTAGACTTGGGGGGAATCTGAGAATGCAGAATGGGCCAGGCTTTGTCCAGCACAGTGTCTGGTTCACAGCAGAAGCTCAGCTACACTTTGAATAGGTATTACCGAATGAATGAATAAATGTATTTTGAAGTCCAATATCATGAAGAGTTCTAGAGATGGATG